CTATGACAGACGTCTTCTTTCATGCCCTTTGAAAGGATAATGGAAAAARAATCCTCATTTCACCTGATTCTTTCCCTCTTGCATCTCTGAGGAAYGTGGGGGTAATTGAATTGCCATGTGCTTTAATAGGAAAGCTGGAAGGTGCGGCTGTTAGATGTGAGGAAAGAGTGGAAATTAATGCAAAGCAACCCCCCATACAACTTTTGCATGCTGAATAAACTCGGAAAAACAAGCACTGGGCTCTTTGCTCTTGTGAAACACAAAACCTCACCTTGGGAAGAGCACTAGGAGAAATATACATTTAAAACCAACTAAGTGGGAGAAGAACCAGGCGCCCTGTGTCCCCCAAAAGGTTAAAAAAATTGTAACTTTCTTCACAGGTTGTTCTTGCAGTTGGATTTGCTAATTTTTCTCGGAGCAGTGGTCAGATGGAAATGTTTCCTGGTTAAAGCCATAAAGAAACTTGAAAGGAATCTCGACCAATAGAGCCAACTCCCTCGGTAAATAACGGGTGTGTGTCCCACCAGCTTCAGCATTGCTGCTCTGTTCCTCCTTCCTCCAGTGGCTCTGGCTTTTGCACCTATTGGCTGTGTGTGTCCAGCAGAGCCTTGCTTGGGCAGCCTTTCTGCTCCTAAATCCTGCCTTTCTCGCACAGTGCGACTCTTKCGCCTTGCCTAATTTTGGCGACACTTTCCAGCCTCATGTAATCAATGCTGAGTTTGCTGATTCTTTGAGGTCGTGAAGGAAGATGTTAAATAGGACAGGACCCAACACTGATTCTTCTTGGGCGCTTCTCTCCCCTTGTTTGCTTGACTGCTCCTTAGCATTAACGTCTCTTATGGTCCATCTGGCAAAGCATGCAACAACCTTCTTTGCTGAGCCTGCTTGAATTAATTTTGGGATTAAGATGGTTTAGTGCCACCATTAATCCACAGTCACTTTTGTGCCCAAGTCATTCTGCAGAGAAGAATCTCATCCCTCTTCCCCATGAGGCTGGAGAAAGAGAGGAGAAAGAAATGAGGTTTCCAGAGGCTTGGTCCAGYGCCATCTCCAGCAGAATGGGCTTCTTCTCATAGTTTAAATCCTTCTGTGTTTTCTCTTCTTTCTGTTGGCCTGCTGGTTTTTTGGTTCTTTTTCAACCTCCTGATGCTGCCCAATGGAGTGAGGGATACATATTTACTGATGCTCCCAAGGGAAGTGTATGTGCTTGGCTTGGTGTGAAGGCTGCTGCTCTCCAGGCTAATAAGACCAGAGGCAGCTTTTGGGGCAGCATTTTGCTCTCTGCTCCTGGCTATATAACTTTTACTCTTCCTTATGAAGACAAGGTTATAAAAACAAGGTTTTAGTTTCTATGATTCTGTGCAGGGTAAATTATCCCCATGCAGAGCTGCTTCCAGCCCAAATGGAAGAGGTCCCAAACTTTCTTTTATGCGCAGGCAACTTCTGTGTTGAGAGATTTACTCCATGGACCACGTCTGCTCCCAGTTCTGTGTCAGGAGCATCAGTTGCCATGGCAACTCATTTGGAAAAGTCATACGGGGAAAGTACGGATGTATTTTTAGCTKTGGGTAACGAAGTTTAACAGCTGGAAATAAAGGTAAGGGCCAGGCAAGGTGCCGCTGGTTCATGGCTCGCTGTTGGGATCAGTTCTTCTGGAGTGCTTTGGGAGTCACTTGTGGGGCTGGGCTCCAACAGGACACGCAGCCGGGTGGCTGTCACCTTAGCTGCTGCGCAGGACAGCAGCAGGATTGTGCCAGAGGAGCAGGAGTCACTATATATATACACACACACATTAAAAAAAAAAAAAAAAGAAAGCTGATAAGAAGGTGCTGTTACATATAAAGATAAAAAAGGAGGCAGTGACTGAGGTCGTAGCAGCTTCTTGCACAGTGTGTTCAACCTATAAATAGCTCTTCAAATGTACCTCTGCACAAAGTGGTATTTATAGATTGATGAGAGGAAAAAAAAAAGAAAAGAAAACCTCCGTTTGGGGTCAGAAGTTGGCATGCAAAGGCTGTTTCAGGCTTGGTCAAAAGTTCAGATTTCTTAAAGGTATGAAGCAGAGCTGGAACACAGTTTTGTGGGTTTTTTTTTTTTTTTTTTTCCTGATCAAGGCTCAAATGTTGCAGTCCACCTTTTGGAAAAGGGGAATCTGGAGAGGCAGAAAGGAATACTTCAGAATAATTCAGGAACACTACAGCGAAGCCCCTGTGCATAAGCAATTTCTTCGTGTGATTTGGAATGCGTCTAACTCACATGCAAACTTTTCTGGAGGTAGATTCATATTTTCTAAAACGCTTTCTCAGTTGTTGGCAGTATTATTCGCTCTTTGTTTTTCATCTGTCAAAGGTTTATTTTAAAATTAATTGATTTCGAAGTAATATTTACTGCATTTTAGCTCTCAGCACAGGATATGAAAATAGATTTCACTACAGCTGGCGGTGTCTAATGGGATTCGTTCCTACTCCGAAGGCTCTTTGCTTTATGCGCTGAGATTTCCAGCCGAGCTCGCTTGGAGCAGCCTCTCCGGCTTTTCATATCGCTGCAATTACACCGCCTGGGCTGGCAGGGGGAGAAGGTGGATCCAGGGTTGCATTTACGTTTAAAGAAGCCACAGTTGAGTCATGCATGAACCAAAAGTATAAGTACCACAGATCTGATCACAGAGTCATGGAAATATTAATAAGATCTTCCTTTTTGACATCACTGGGCTCTTTGGCRGGATTAAAAATTGATCGCATCTCATCATGATTGGCCGTGGTTGTGGTGGCGGTTGAACGTGGGGTTGTGGAAGTGCCCTGGCCCTGGCACACCACCAGGGTATCACACACGGTGGCAAGCAGCGCATTTAAATTGAAGTAGASTTTGCTAAAGTGCTGGAGTCATCAAGGGAGGAGTGTGAACTTTGATGTGAGCTGATTTAGAAGCTGCCTTTGAATTCTAAAAATTTAAATAACATGTTAGCAAAGACGTCACCAAGACCATTTCTGGGTGCGTTGTGAGGCGCTCAGCCTTCTCCCAGGTGGAGCATCCATTGCCTTCTAAGTAGCCCCACTGCAGGAGGCTGTTGCTTCTCTTCTACSTGGGGAGCAGTGGAGAGGGAGGAGCGACGTGCTGGGAGCCTGTGGCCGCGCTGCGAACACTCTCCTGTCTCTGAGGCTAGTGCCCACATTCTCCAGGGCTGGGCAAGCTTTCTCCATCCAATSTGCTTCCGGATAGAAAATAGGGATTTTTTTCTTTTCTCCCCAAAGCTGCCRCTTTCTGAAGAATGTTTTCCCCTGGCCCCTTCCCCACATTGATAAGCTTCCATGCAAAGATGTGACTGCTCTGATTCAGCAGCCTTGCTGAATCACTTGCTAGGACCCACCAGGTCATAGAGCTGGAGTTTCCTTTCCCTCCTGACCGCCCCTCATCTCTCATTGCATTTTATATAGCAGTAGCCGTGGGGTTTCCACAGGTTGTAGCATCCCAAAAGAAGGGACTGAGGTTGGACCTGGACAGTATCTCCCTGTCAGGAAGCAGCACTGGTGGAGAAGCTTGTGGACATCAGGGTTTCTTGGTCAATGCTTGCACCAAAGCCCGTGAGACTTGCCTTGCATTTCCCTGGGCACTTTGTAGGCTTCGGTTCTGGTAGACAGTTGTGAACACAGCTGGCTTACATTAATTATCTGCTCTTTTGGCATGTAGCACCCAGGAAAGGTAAACTAACAATACTCTAAAAAAGTAATGTATATATTGCAGCAAAGGTCAAAAAGGGAAAGCTAATGCAATTACTGAACCAATCAATTGTTGATTATTTTCTGGGAAGATCTATAATAAAACATCCCGTGTTTTCATTTCCATAGCATGACTATCCAACCAAAATAGTAGGATCAGCTCGCTCTCTTTCCCCTCACCTCTAATGAAATCCCTTTGCATAAACAGACTCCTGGTGTCTGAAATAAAGTTGCTCTTTTTGGCACGTTCACCAGTAAGGGACACGTAACCTGAGGAGCTTGCTGGTGAGTCTTCAAGCTAAGAAAGGCCTGACGTCTGTGCGATGTGGGAAGCGCGCGGCCCCGCTGAGCCCTGGCCGGCCGTGGCCGCGCCGTGCTGCAAGGCTCCAAAGCAGCTGTGAAAGGCCAGAGGAGGCCGTGCCAGAGCGAAAACACAAAACAAAGTCAGATGTCAGAAGCTGAGCCAGGCTTGGGAAGAATGATGGAAGTGATTCCTTTGAGGCTGTCAGTATTTTTATTGATCTGAGGCTGTTTATAGCTGTAAAACAGTTACAAATTGGAGAGGAGCTATGGCGAGCACTGAGCAGTGAAAATTGTCCAGGTACAACTTAAAAGATGTGCATCAGCATATCTAGGCTGTGACGACAGACCTCTGGACCRTGGAGGGGAGGCAGTTCATGCCCARCTTTTTCCATTCACTGTCCCACGGMCTCTTGGCCAAAGCCTTCTTGTCTTTGCTGGCAATGATGCTGATCTCACTGAGGAACCCAAGACTCGTACCCTGGCATGACACTGAGTCAGTCTACCTCGCAGGTGTGCTGAGGGCGTTGGAGAAGGGCTGTTTGAGAAGCCCCTTAGCCCAGGTTTCTTGGACACCCCTACACAAGGTAGGCTTTACTTTAGGATGGTCCATTCACACCCACCACAGGCCAGGGCAGATTCTGTAGAAGCCAAAGGGAGTTCCCTGTATACTGAATTCTGCAATTATATTTGATCACAGAAAATAGGAAGTGGGCAGGCATATAGTGTTCTGTATTTGTGGATCTGAATGCAGTTGTATGGATATGTCCATCTACATACACACTTTTTTATGAGTAAGCTTGTTCAGACACCTATATGTATGCATCTATGAGCAGACCCTGTTTACACTGCCTGGATATTATCAGCTATGCCTCACTAGCATTAGAAAAGTCAATTTATGCTGTATATTTGTCCTTTGTGACAGATATGTTATCCAAGAAGCCCTCCACCGTGATAACTCCCTCTTCTTCTTCTCAATTGCAGAAATACGTGAAGCCTTCCGGGTCCTGGACAGGGATGGGAACGGCTTTATATCCAAGCAAGAGCTGGGCATGGCAATGCGCTCCTTGGGATACATGCCAAGTGAGGTGGAGTTGGCAATTATCATGCAACGCCTTGACATGGACGGTAAGTCCTTGCAGCTGTTTTTTTTTTCTGKGTTAGAGGTGCAGGATGGTTTTCTTATGTCATTTCAACCCATGTCAGCATAGCCACGGCAAGGAAAGGGCAATGGAGAAAAGTGAAATGCAGAGAGATGGAGCAGCCCAACTTGTCATTGCAACCAGCCCACAGCAGGGCAAGGAGTCGAACTCGTGCCCGTGGCTCCTCAGCCGTGGTGGCCTGGGAGGAAGCGTCATCATATTGACACCTTTGTGGGGACACCACAGTCTTGTGGCAGCTCTGGAGAGAGCAAATTAGGAAGCTGAAGTCCTGTATTTCCTCACAGACCATGTCACGTTGTGCAGGTGTCCCCTTCTTCTACATGCCTCTTCTTTGGCTTTCCTAGGAGGAGAACAGTCCAAGGCCCGTGTGAGCCTCCGGGTCCTCCTCATATTTCTGCTGGCACTTATCCCTGGGCTCCCGGGTGCCTGTCCACCACAAAGGCAGGCCGAGGGATGTAAAAGGCTGTTGCAGTGTTTCCCTGCTCGTTCCTGGGCAGTGTCCGGCCCAGTGATGCTGAAGTGAAGGACTTAGCAGAACATGACCAGTATGCCTAACCAAGCGACGCAGGCTCTGCAGCCACGCTCAGTGGCCTTATCTGCTCCTTGCCAGTAAATGGTGCTGTGGGTGAGAGCTGTGCTGTGTTGTAATGAAACGTTGATGTTTGGAAGGAGAAGTTTTGAAGGGTGGAATAATTTTGAGCGAAGTCCCGCTGTGAGAGCTCCTCAAACGATTACTAAGAGGTAATAAAAGAAACAGAACCCACCATTAACAGGAACAGAAATGCAGCATCAGGATGCTGGAGCCAGGGGGGACTTTTTAACTGCTGCAAAGCTACAATCATAGCTGAGCCGAACGAGAGAACTGCCTTTAAAATGTCCTTGGTCAGAGATGTAAGGGAGACTTTTTGGATGCCTAAATTGTGCGAGGAAGATGCAGTGTTGATCAGACCATCTCCTTTCATTGTACAGGAGTCCATGAGAGTGTGAAAACATTGTGTAGACTTAGATGAGATAATGCAAATTCAGCGAGTCCTGAATGCAGCCCCAAGCTGAAAAGGATTGCTTTGCAACCCCATGCACTTTCCAGCACCTTTTGATGGGCAGATTGCTGGAAGCAAAGCTTGTGGGAGAAGGTAGCAATGGGGGTGAAGCTTCCTTACCTGCTCCAGGATATCCAAGTCCACATACTATCTGTGTGAACTACACAACACCACCTTATTAACCAGGCCAACCAGCATGCACAGAGTAGGAGCTTTCAGCCACCAAAGACATTTAAGAGAAGAAGAAAACAACATCATAAATCTGCAAATTTAAATTCAGATTGTGTTCCCTATGTTGTTCAGTGGCGCTTGGGGAGGATTCTCAAAATGCATCTCTTTTAAATGCGACCTGCTCACTGCTTGAGTGTGCTAAAGGCAGCAGACTCCTAAGCTTGGCTCAGAGGCTTTATTTGGTTGATAAACTAGGCAGTGATTCTGATGGGAGCAAACTTTCTTGTGTGGTTTCTACTGCTTCCATGTGTGTGCTGTGAGCACAGGTTTGCTCATAGCGCTGTCAGCAAGGCAGCCCTTCTCACCAGATGAAGCAGAGAAGAGGGTGGCAGCCTTTCTCTGGGATGCTCAGATTATCTCCTACAGCAGAGCAGAGAAGAAACATCAAAACCAGGGGTTGGAGAAGATAAGCTGTTGAAACGATCCCGTACTTAAAAGAAAAAAAAAATCCATTGGTTTTAAAAATATTTGCTCCCAAACTTACAGTTTGTACTTTGTTATGTTCTGCTGGCCTTTCCTAACAGACTAACYGATTTCTCTTCAGTTTTTGCAAAGGCCAGACTCAGCATGGTGCCAATTCCTGGGCTGTTTTACTGAAACTGTGTGCTTTTTGGGRAAAAAAAGAGTGCAGTGGCTTTGGGTTCTAGGTTTGATTCATCTCCAGCTATTGCTTGACTCTCAGCCTCACTCGAGACTTTGGCATTCTTTTATATACACTCCTAGTGTGCAGGGACCTGTAAGTGGAATGGTGGAGTCAAAAAAGTAATGAGCTACAGATGGAAGGAGTTAAATCCATGTCTGAGATGCCTCRAGAGGGTCAGTGTGCTTTCTGCAAAGATGGATGGCAATTCTTCATCTCTTCCAGGTCAACAGTTCCTACAAAGAGCCCTAAAGATGTGGTCCAGTTGTTTTGTTTTTCGTTTGTTCTGCTGATGTCTAAGCTGTCCATTGTCAGTGCTTTGTGCAAAAACTTTTGAAAGTAGACAAAAGTCAGTGTTACGTGAATGTCAAATGGACCGTCTATTACAAAAAAAAAAAAAAAAAAAAAAAAAAAAAACCACAGCAAAAAAACTAGCATATTGGGGAATTTCTTAAGCATAGAGAGAACAGGGGGGCTATTATGGGAAATATCTACCTAGGCTGCAAACTGAATTAATGCTATATGGATTATGGCTCGTCTATTAAAAAAAAAAAAAAAAAAACCACAGCAAAAAAACTAGCATATTGGGGAATTTCTTAAGCATAGAGAGAACAGGGGGGCTATTATGGGAAATATCTACCTAGGCTGCAAACTGAATTAATGCTATATGGATTATGGCTCTTTTATTTGTTTTTTTTTTTCTCCAATGAATTGTCTTTATTTTTTTCTGCAGCATAGCTTGAAATATGCAGTAAGAACCATCAGTTGCTTCCTCCATTCTCTCCCATTGCAAGTGAGCAACGTTTGGCAGCATGGCCCAAATCCGGCCACCTCCGTGGGATATGAATCGGGCGCTGGGGTCCCTGATACGTCCTTTCCCTCACACTCTTATATCCCTCCCAAGGGTGGAGGGACTTTGCAGGGGAGCGGGCCCAGCTTTGGCACCGTGTCTGGTGGGTGGGAGGCTCCGTGAGATGCCACGTGCACACAGGAGTGCCCTGCGGGAAGGAGAGGCTGCGGAGGAGGCAGCAATCCCCCTGGGCATCCCGAGGCACGAGGCAAGTTACCATGTGGCCACGGGTACCGCAGCCAGACGTGCATCTCGCCACACGAGGCTGCTGCCAGGGTTTGCTAATAACGAGGTAGTACAACTGGCAGCGCTCTGTGTTTCATCGGGAGCAGCACTAATGCAGACATGAGGTTTTCATCAGAAACGACCTTGGAAGCACGTTCGCGTTGCAGGGTGGCAGAGTGGCTGCGTCTGCCTSGGCTCGTTTAAGTGGCAAGCTTCTAATGAGGAACAACCAGGGCTGACCTGAGGTTCGTTTTCATTGTGAACCCTCTTTTCTGCAGGGACGGGGTCAAGCTGAGGAGTGCCTGCTTGTTCCAAGAGGGAAGATGGCTTTGCTAGGTTGGACAAAACTTTTTTCCAGAGGAACATATGCATTGTATGCTGGACTGGTTTTGTGAAGGTGGATAAGCTAACATGACAAGAGTATTTCACACCTGTGTGTCACCCTCTGTTACAAAGCATCTCGTAAAACTCAGTAAATAATTCAGGGATGAAGTCCATCACCACCTAAGAGAAAGTTTTTTCTGGGGCTGCAACTGTCTACTAATACACAGTAAACTCTCAAATTGGAGCAGAAATAAAAGTGCATTTCATAATCCAGTGCATTTGAAGGCAGAATTGAGGTGGTTAAAAAAGGCCGCTCAAGCACCAGTGAAAATGACAATTACTAAGCTTGGATTTTGCCCAGGAACTCTTCGCAGATGTCATATAGCTTTTAGTGCCCCCGTGGCTTCTGAGTGCTACCATAAACTTTCCTTTACAGATAATCTGTCAGCAGCCAACTGTCCCCACTGCTGAACAAGGGCACAATTTTATTACTGGCTTGATGGGAAGAACATCACCTTAAGAGCTCTCCTTCAGTCAGTTGGTCTCCATAGAGTTTTCTTATTTTATGTTCTGACCAAGCCTGATCCATCTTTCCTCATCAGAGCTAATGCTGCTCTTGGTGCAGAGGTGTTTGTAGCAAAGAACACGTCAGCATGTCAAAAGTGTCCTGACAGCAGCTGTAGTCAGAATAATCAAAAGGGAGGTTTTTTCAGTTATCTGATTACCTTCCTTTAAGTTGTCTGTGGGTCTTGAATCATTCAGTTTGGTCACCAGTTAAATCTTCTGTGTGTGTGTGTGTGTGTGTGCATACATTTTATTTTATTGAGATTGATAACATCCCTAGTATGCTCACCAGTTTCTGCACAGGGATTTTGGGAATATAACATTTTTCCCTTTCCTTTTTTTTTTTACTTCCTAGTTTTCTTTGCACGGGGAACTAGTGGAATTATCCTCTRTTTCCCTAGGCAGATTTTAAGAAGTCCAGCAAAACCCAAAGGAGATTTCTTATAAGCCTTACAGGTTGAATTAAACATGGGTGCAGGGGGTGGAGATCTGCTGTGCCTATAATTCCACCCACAGTGACGGCGTTGGAGATGACTGTGCTCAGTGAATCCTGTAGTAAGAAACACCAGAGCAGCTTCCTGATGATCACCAGAGACTACTGCTGAATGTTTCTAAGMCAATGTGGGCACAATTGCCCATTGGGTTGATTTCTTTGTATTTGTATCTGCGGGCAATGTGAGGACTTGGGAGCAGGAGGTGCCCCATGGGGCAGAAGATGCTCTGTCCTTGCTCAGTGAGGGTGGATGAGTGGTGGTTCTTGGATTGTCTTGGAAGGTAAACTTTACCCAGGTGAAGAGAAACACAGCTGCTGCAGAGAGAACAGTTTTAGTCATCATAAAAAGACTGAATTAGGGAGAAAAAAAAAAAAAGACTATACCTGGAATATTTCAAGGTCTCTAAGAAAAGCTTATAAATCATCAGAGATGTATCATTTTATGAACTACTGGAAGATGGCACAGTATTGCTGTGCTTGGGGAAATAAAAGCGAGAGAAGGAGTTCTTGTGAGCAGAAATACCCCTCTCTGAAAAGCAGTGATATTGTGGTCACTCAGAGCATTCGCATGAGGTCAGATTTTGCTTGTGCCTTTACC